AATGTCGAGTTAAATCTCACCACCTCCCCCGGCGCCCCCCGCAACAGGGGGGGGGGGGGGGGGGGGGGGGGGGGGGGGGGGGGGGCGTGACCATCGCCTCACCCCTGTCTGGAGCTGAGCTGTGACATCTAGGTCTCACTGGCAGTGCTTCATGAGTGAGGATCAATAGGAGCTGCAGAGATTTCACACTTAACTGACCACCTCCCCCTCCTCTGACCACCTCTTCATATAGGTACACAGGGAGGGAAAAGCAGAATGGAGTGGGGCTGAGCGGGAAAGAGAGGATAAGGAACAGGGAAGGGATGCGAGAGGAGAAGGGGCATGTTCAGGTGCAGGAGCTGGGAGCAAGACAAATCAAGGTGGTTTTCCTCAAATGTGTACGTTGAAAGCGGCTTGATTTGATCGTGATGTTCAAAACTAATGAGGGGTCTGGATGGTGTGGATAGGGGAAGCGGGGTGCTGATCCCATGAGCGGCCGGGTTGAGAGCAAGGCAGCGCAGGTTTATGGTAAATAACAGAACTGACAATGACAACACGACAAGAACCTTTCTCATACATTTCCCGAGAGTTCGATGGAGGCATTTGACTGGGAATTGGATGATTTTGAAACATAGAAATCTAGCACACAGGGGCAGCAGGGAATCACGAAGCCTAATGGAATGTTGGCCCTTATTTCAAGGGGTTTGGAGTATAAGAGTAGGGAAGTCTTACTGTAATTGTACAAGGTGCTGGTGAGACCACATATGGAGTACTGAGAGCAGCTTTGGTCCCATTATTTAAGAAACTACATTATTTCATTGGAGGCACTTTAGAGAAGGTTCACAAGGACAATCCCTGGTACAGAGAGATTGTCTTATGAGCGAAGGCTAAATGGGCTGGGACTGTACTCACTGGGGTTGAGAAGAATGAGCGGTGATTTCATTGAAACATATAGGATTCTTAAGGAACTTCACAGGATAAATGCTGAGAGGAGGTTTCCCGTCATGGGAGAGTCTAGCACCAGAGGGGCACAGTCTCAGAATGAATGGGCACAATTTAAGACTGAGGGGGAATTTCCTCTCCGAGGGTTGAAAGTCTTTGGAACTCCATGCCACAGAGAGCAGTGGGGGAAGCGTCCTTGTGTATATTTAAGCTGAGAAAGATTCTTGATCAGTTGGGGATTCAGGAGTTACAGGGAAAAGGCTGGAAAGTGCATGTGAGAAATGAAAATCAGCCATGATTCTATTGTTCAGGCTTCAGTGTCCAAACAGCCTTCTCCTGTTCCTGCTTTTTATGGTCAACATTTCAGAACAGTGGCCTTAGATGGGATCAATCAAATGCTGGAGAGGTAAGTGGGTTTTAAGCAAGTACAAGGGTCAAGGAAAGGGGCAGGGGAGAAGGCAGGGATAAGATGGTGTGAAACAAAAAGGAATGGCAATAGAACAAGTGAAGAAACAGAAAGTGGGTCTAGAGGAGGTGGCTAATTGATCGACAATGGCAGCGGCAGTCTGAAATGACAGATTAGTGCCTGATATAGTAGAACTGAATGCTGAACCCAGAAGGTGATGAAGTGCCGAATGGGAAGGAGAGGTGATGTTTTGGGTCACTGTCTACTAGTTGATGTTGTGGTGTTAGCTGTGAACTATCTCCAGCCCAACAAAAACACCTTCAACAGTCAAACAGATTGGCCATGTCCACCATGTTTCACCTCACAGGAGAATAGAATAACAGATACCTGGGAGGGAGTTACAGACTGGAATCTAATCGAGGGATACAGGGTGGTTTATGCACAGAATAACAGATACCCCGGGAGGGAGTTACAGACTGGAATCTAATCGAGGGGTTCGGGGGGGTTTATATACACAATAACAGATACCCCGGGAGAAAGTTACATACTGCAATGTAATTGAGGGGTTTGGGGTGGTTTATATACAGAATACCAGATACCCCAGGAGGGAGTTACACACTGGAATCTAATTGAGGGGTTCGGGGTGGTTGCTGTGGGCTGTGATATAATCCTGGGGTTGACAATTTCTCCCTTTATTGTCAGCTCCTTGAGCGAACAGGCTGTTGGTTTGTGTGCACATCTGATTGTTTTTATGTACCAACCCACTACCTGTGAATGTGTGTGTAATTGGGTTGCTTGCTCTTGTGGTTCAGTAAGATGTCCCATCTACTCCAGAGCTCTGTCATTACATGCTGATTGAAAGTAAATTTCCTCTCAGTTTTTCTCACCTGGGTTTCAAATGGTAACCAAACATTCAACTCCATCTGACACTTTACCTGATGAGCTGTTTTGTTATTTCCTTCTCCTGATCAGCACTGCCCCCTGATAACTTGAACAACTCTAGATCTCTCAGTCCCATGACATGAAGAGGGTGCAGAGCTGAGGTACTCCTCTGGATACCATCTCTCTTACCAGTCACTGACACTTTATCTGTACTTGTTCTACAGTTAACACTGTGGAATTATTCACTGATCGATAACAGCTCAGGCTTAACTTGTCATTCTCATTTTCAAATGCTTACATGGCCTTGACTGCCTCCAAACCTCTGCAGTACCCTCCAGTCCCCCCACCCTCTGTGAGCCCTGTGGCGAGGATTGTGAAACACTCCCAGGAAGCTACCTGGATGTTTCCATGTTGAATCAGAAATTGTGTGCTTCCCCCACCCTCCCTGGTTGGAGTTAGAAGGTGACCCAGTAGGACTAGCCATGTCAGAGAAGGTAGCTGACTCATTGGCAGGCTCAATGTCAGAAAGAGAGCTAGATACAGTGAGGGAAGAAACCAAAAAGGCAAAGATGTACAACACTGCCGGCCTGTCCACCTGACCTGAAGGGAATCACACCTACTTTGAACGTCACTGCCATCAGCTCCGGGCTGTGCTTCAGCTGTGGTGAACTAGGAGAAACAACCGGATGTTAAAAGTCAGTATGATTCAGGGTGTATCAGTATGTAGATACAACAGCATTCACAAACAACTCCTATGGAGCACTGACTCTACTCTATGTGCAATTACTGCTCCCTGTCCCTGTGTGAAAACTGCCTCTTTACCCTACCCTTGTAACAATGACCCCTTTACTCGGTGTGACCCTTACTCACAGGCCCATGTGTGTGTAACAATTGCCCCTTTACTCGGTGTGACC